AGTGAAGACGGTGAGAAAGGTACGACCTAAACCATTCAAGGACAGTGCCTTGAAGGTTGAGGTGGGAGGACAAGCGGTGGAGTAGGATAGCGTGGTCGACCGTATCGAATGCTGCCGATAGGTCGAGGAGGACGAGGAGGCAGAGGGAGCCCTGGTCACAGATGGTCAGGATATCATTGGTGACCTTGACCAGGGCAGTTTCTGTGCTATGGGCAGCACGGAAACCTGACTGAAGGGGTTCGAAAAGAGAATGGGTGGAAAGGAAAGAGCGCAGTTGGGAGGCGACAACTCTTTCCAGGACCTTGGAGAGAAAGGGGAGGTTGGAGATGGGCCGGTAGCTTGATAGCTGCGACGCATCAAGGGAGGGTTTTTTCAGGGTGGGCGTGATGGTGGCAGTTTTTAAGGGAATGGGGACAGAGCCAGAGGAGAGGGACAGGTTGATGATGTCAGTGATATGTGGGGCAAGAAAGTGGAGCTGGGAGATAAGGAGTGGAGTGGGGATGGGGTCAAGGGAGCAGGTGGTTGGTTTTAGGGATAGGATGAGTTCAGTGACAGAGGGTGGGGAAACGGGTACGAAGGTGTGTAGGGGAGGATGGGTAGGAGTCGGAGTGTGGGAGGGAGGGGGTGGGGGGTTGGTGGAAGTTGGAGGGGAAGTGACCGCGGAGCGGATTCCCTTGATCTTGGATTCAAGGAAATCCAGCATCTCCTCGCAGTGAAGGTTGGAGGAGATGACCTGCGCGGGGTGGCGGGGGGGACGGAGGAGTCGGGTTGTGGTGGAAAACAGTAGCCTGGGGTTGTTCTTCGCCTCCAGGATTATCCTGGAGTAGAAGGACGACTTGGCCGAGGCTAGAGTGGAGCGGTAAATTTTGAGGAGGTCCAGCCAGATTTGTCGGTGGACCGTTAGGCCAGATTTGACACAGGTGCGTTCAGCAGCCCGCACCTGGCTTTTCAGTGAGCGGAGGTGGGTGGTGTACCAGGGGGAGGAGCGGGAGTAGGAGACAGTGCGGGAAGTGATGGGGGCAAGAGTATCGAGTGTGGAGGAGAGGGTATTGTGGAGGAGGGAGAGAGGAGAAGAGGGGTCGGTGAGGGTTGAAGGCCAGAGGGAGAGGAGTTCAGAGGACTCCAAGGCATCGGTTAGGGATTGTGGGGGTAACTTCTTCCAAGGGCGGTAGAAGATGGTGGTGGGTCTGGTGGAGGTGGGGAGGGGGGTGGAGGTGGTGAAGGAGATGAAGTGGTGGTCAGAGATGGCCTTGTCGGTAATAGTGACATCCGAGACACTGAGGCCCCGGGTGATCACCAAATCGAGTGGGTGGCCGTGACTGTGAGTGGGGGAGTTTATGTGTAAGGAGAGGTTGAGTGAGGAGAGCAGGGAAGAGAAGTCTGTGGAGATGGAGCAGGAGGGGGTGAAGTGTAGGTTAAAGTCGCCCAGGATGATGAGGCGATCAGAGCAGAGGCAAAGAGATGTGAGGAGTGTTGAAATGTCAGAGATGAAGGTGGGAGAGGTTTTAGGGGGCCGGTAGAGGAGGAGGATTTTAAGGGAGAGGAATGAGGGGTGGGAGAGGGTGAGGTGCTCAAAGGAGGGGAAAGAGCCAGTGGAGTAAGGGGATAGGGCAAGTGGTGTCCTTGAGATAAGGGCAACACCACCGCCACGGCGGTTGGGGCGGGGGATGTGGTGGGAGGTGTAGCCGGGTGGTGTGGCCTCCGTGAGGGGGAAGGTGTCGCCTGGGGTGAGCCAGGTTTCTGTTAAGGCCATGATATCAACGTTCTCATCAAGGATGAGATCGTTGATGACCAGGGCCTTGTTGCAGAGGGAGCGGACATTTTGCAGTCCGATGTGGAGGGAGCGGTTGACAGAAGGGTGTGTGGGAGGGGAGGGGGGTCCAGGTTGTGAGGCAGGGGTGGGGGGATGGGGATAAGGGAGGAGAGGTTGACTCCCCGGGTCTGTGTCCGGGGTGGGTGGCGAGAGTGGTGGGGAATGGGGCAGTCGGTGTGGCTGCTGCTGGACAGCCAACGCCGAGTGCCACGGTGAGCCCGGCGGAGGATTCCCAGGCTGGAACAGAGGGAGGTTGTGGGAGGGTCAAGTGGGGATAGAAGACGAGAGGGACGGAGAGAGAGGAGGACAGAGCGGGAGAGATGCAGAGGGGGGAGGGTTTGGGGGAGAGAGGAGGGGGGCGGGAGGGAGGGGGTGAGGGGGCTCGGGTCAAAGCGGCAGCCATAGTGCGCACGCGGGGACCGGGAGCGAGCGGTCAGGTGGATGGCATTATCCCGTAGATTGGGGCAGCCAACCCAACAGGACCATAGTGGGCTCTGATGTGAGCCCTGGGGGGGGGGGGCACAGAGGGTTTTTTTCTTTTTTTTTCATCTACTATTGACAAATCAGATAACTATATTTACAATAATTGTGTTGCTATCGTATAGTTATTCTGTCAGAATAATACAATATTTTTGTATTGCGCCTTTCACGTCGGGAGGACGTCCCGAGGTGCTGGACAGTGGGGCGGGGGGTGTTGGGATCAGGGAGGGTGGAGGGCAGAGAGGGACAGAAGGTGGCTGGGCCAAAGGCACGGTCAAAGAGGAGGGTCTTGAGGCATGCCTTGAAGGAGGCAAGAGAGGGAGCGAGGAGGAGGGACTGTGGGATGGAGTTCCAAAGTGTGGGGGCAAAGAGGCTGAAGGCCTGACCACCGATGGTGGCGGGGGATGTGAAGCAGGCCAGAGCCTGCTGAACGGAGGAAGCGGACAGGTTGATATGGAGTTAGCACCGAGGTAGGAGGGGGCAAGGCCATGGAGGACCTTGAAGGCGAGGATGAGAACTTTGAACTCTATCTTCTGGGGGTTGGGAGCAATCAATGCACTTGAGCAGTGCTCTGAGATGTTTCAATGTGTCAGGCACCAAAAAAAACCTGCAGTTGTTTATTTGAAATCACCGAAAATGCGAAGGAGGTTTATAGAACTTTAAACTTTTTNCCTGACCGCCTAGATCTACTGAGAGCATTGGATAGTTGGGAACAGTGGTGCTTCACTGATTGAGCACTTGGGCGGTTTTTAAATGCAAATTGTTGCTGTTGTTGTTGAATGATTGAATGAACAGTGAGCAATATATGTAGAATCTAGGCGTGATCCACTGTAACCCCCATCCTTACTCCTGTAAATCCCCATCATTATTAGGAATATAAGAATAGGAGGAGACCGTACGATTAGACCTGCTGGTGCATGGAAATCCACAAGGCAGAGCAGGATTGGGCTCATCCGCACAATGTCACATCAGCTATGCAGAACGATGACTGGCAAAAGTCTGCTAGGACCAACCTTCTTGGTGATGGAGTGGCTCTCATCTCCAGAGTTCTACTCAGCCAATCCTTTTACACCGCTGGAACTTTCACCTCTTCTAAACACCTCGCTCTTTAGTAAAACTAAGTCTTGCATTTGATATAGCGCCTTATCATGTCGGTGAGACGTCTCAAAGGATCTTTACAAGATATACTGTACTGTGTATTTTGTGGGCAAAACACAGGAGCCAGTGTGCACAGTCGTGTCCCACAAACAGCCATGGAGTGAGTGACCAATTTTATTTGCAGGATTGTTGGACAGGACACCAGGAGAGAAAACCCTTTTCTTTTTGAAGTGTCATGCCATCTGTTTTCCCACAAAACCTGCAGCCATTCCATTATACAGCATTTCCTGTGAAACACTTTCGAGTTCCTCCCTTAAAAATTCTCATCATCAAATTCTTATTTCCCCCCAAACCTTCCAGCACTTTCCTCTGACATCCTTCGTCTTTCTATCTTCCCTCAGCCTCCTCCTCATCTTTCCATGTGTCTATCACCCCCAATCTCGCCCGGCTCCACTGGCTCTCTATCCCCCAGTGGATCAAGTTCAACACCCTCATCTTAACCTTTAAATCCCTCCAAGGTCTTGCACCATCTTACCTCGGCGACCTCCTCAAACTTTAAAAACCCATCAAAGCCTCCAGCTTGCTTCACGTCCCCCATCAAACCCAACCCACCGTCAGCCATCGGGCTTTCAGCCTATCTGGCCCCACTCTCAGGAACTCCATCCGAGTCCCTATGATTTGTCCCTCCTCTCACCTCAAGACCTTCCTCTTTGACTGAGCTTTCAATCCTCGGCTCCAACCTCCAATTCAGGTGCAAAACTTGCACTGTCCAGCATCAAGGTACATCGTCCCAATATGAAAGGCGATATACAAATGTAAATTTGTTGTATCCTGAAGCTGATATTGATTGATTCACTAGGAACAACCTGTAGAGTTAAAACTCTGATGTTTGTTTTTTTAGGCTTCCTTGTTTTGACTGAAATATAATCGCAACCATGATTTGTTTATTTAGGAAAAGAACTCAAACAATAGTGTTGTTACTAAACATTTAGAAGACCTGCCCATCTGATCTTTTCGCTGCACCCTATACCCACTCTCCTTTCCAGCACAGCGGCAAGCTTTTTTTTAAATGAACTCCTTCTTGATATCCTATTCAAGGCATTAATTGTCCTCTGAATAAAGAAAAATGTTCTGGTATCTGTCCTGAAATTACCCTTTACAACTCTGAACCAATGTCCTCTTATTCTACTATCTTAATGCATCCTATCTGCCAGCAGGAGCAGGAGAGACAATTGAGTTGTCAACAGCTTGGTGGGGAGGGATCAAGGGGCAGGTGTTCAATTTCAATTGGGTTACGGGGTTAGCGAGGACAAGGAGGTGGGGGTGGGTGGGGAGTGAGACTGTAGCAGAATACACAGGGGAGGGGGGGGTAGGAAGACAGGGAAGATGCAGCCAGGCCGATATTTATAACATCAATCATTTTCGGTACTGCACCTTCCACGTCGAGAGGTCTTTTCAAAAGTCTTTCACAGAATATGTAGTATAATGTTTTGTAAACAACAGATGCCAGCCATTCTTTGCAAACGTCCATGAAGTGAGTGATCAATCTTATTTGAGGGAATGCCATGGGACCTTTATCGTCCACCATAACAAACAGATGCAACTTCAGTTTAATACATGAACGGCTTTATTTGAAACGTAAAAGTTAAGGCATCTGTAGTTTAATTCTTGCAAACTCTGTGGAAAAAAAACAAGACAACTTGCCGCAATTCTAAAATAATTCTTCAGTGATTGTTTCATCTTCATCTATCTTGGCCTTTACTTTCTTCCCCACCAGATTAAAGATCTCTTCAGGAGCAATGCCTTTGGGTTCCGCTACTTTCACAGTCAGCATATCCAGTGTCAACGATGTTCCTGCTGGAATCGCCAACTTCGCCACCACAGACTTGCCCAGCTAGAGACAAAGGAAAAAGTATATTTTAACCATTTATAGATTCATAATAATCCTGACATTTGGTGTAGCAGCTTTCACATTTGGAGGAAATCCCAAAGTGCATCACATGATATGCTGCAAAATATAGTAACTGTGTGTGTGTTTCTGGACAAATGCGGCAGCCAATTTACATACAGCAATGTTCCATAAACAGCCATGAAATAAATGACCAATTACAACAACATAAAACAACAACATTACATTTCACGTCGGGAGGACGTCGCAAGGCGCTGTCCTGGCCAACAATCCCACAAATTACTTGGGGTATTGGCCGGGACACTAGGAAAAACTCTCTTCTCTTTTAGAATGGTGCCGTAGGATCTTTAACTGCCACCTGAACAGGTAGACTGGGGAGACAGCCTTGGTGTAACAGCTCACCCAAAAGACGGCACCTCCAACAATGCAGCGAAACCCCAGCACTGCATTGAAGTGTCACCTTAGACTCTATGAGTGCCAAGACCCAATGTGGGGCTTGAACCTACAACTTTCTAGCTCAGAGTCGAGTGCTACCACTGAGCAAGCAAAACCTAGAAGATGCATTGATTGGGACTTCCCTCTTCAGTGAAGTAAAATTCTTAAATGTTCATATAATATCCACATCTTAAAAATAGAAACAAACTCCATCAGAAAAGTGGTGATCTAAGAAACCTAGGCACTGTGTTCTTCACATTCTAGTTTCATTGGAGCAGAGAATGTTTATAGGGGATATCATTTTTATAATCCTTACATTTGGTTTAGCATCTTTCACATCAGGAGGAAATCCCAAAGCGCTTCACAGGATATACAGTAAAGTGCAATAACTGTGTGTGTTTTGTGGGCAAATGCAGCAGTCAATTTAGTGCCATGGGAATTTTAACGTCCACCTGAACATGCAGATGGCGACATGGGTGTACAAAATCATGAGGATTTTTGGGAGGGTAAATAGTGAGAAGTTATTTCTACTGGTAGGAGAGTCAGTAATTAGGATCATAAGTATGAGACAATTACAAAAAGAGCAAAAGGAGAGCTTAGAATTTTTCTTCCCACAAGCTGTTGGGACATGAATGCCACGCAAAGTAAGGCAGTAGAGGCAGAGACCATTGTGGGTTTCAAAAGGAAAGTAGACAAATGTATGAAAGGTTTGAAGGTGTATAAGGCAGGTCCGTGGGACTGAATGAAGGCCTCACTCTCAGAGCTGCTGAGAAGTGATGGGCTGAATGGCCTCCTTATGCACTGTAGATTTCTTTGATTCTATGAGACCATTGACTATAGGATGGTTTCCCTCCAACAAAAGTACATGCAGCTCCACCCACACCCCACCCCTCCACTTTAAAATGGCAAAAACCATCCTGGTAACCCGTCACAAAATCTGTCAGCTCCATGACGACCTCCTCACCCCCTCCCAAGCCCAAATCTCATTCTATTCCATAATCATCTGGAGGCCACGAACCATCCCAAATTTCTCTTCTCCACCACAAATTGCCTCCTTTGTCATCATACTCCCAAACCCTCCCTATTCTAATCTTTGACACCAAATGCGAGGTGGTCAATGAGTTAAAAATGAGTTACCTTATTGTGACAGGCCAGCTCACAAGGCAGCATACTTTTGACGGAGGTCCCAAAAGCTCTCTCCACGATGCGGATTGAGCGAACCAGTTCTGTTAGCTCGTTCGGCTCCAGGGATGCTTCGTGATCATTGCCCTTCCAAGTTTTATCCAAGGTCACATGACGTTCCACAACTTTGGCTCCCATAGCTACTGCTGCTACAGTGATAGCAATTCCAGTTTCATGACCAGAATATCCAATGGGAATGTCTGGAAATTCCTTTTGGTATTCCTGAAAGCAGGATGTTAAAAACACAAAGAAAACAAACCTTGATAAATACTCATTTGAGAAAAATGACATTGATTTACATTCTGCTTTGGCAAACAGTCAAACAATATATAGCCAGAATAACAGCTTAATTTTTCAAATCATCATTATTGCTGCTGTTACATTATGTATTTGAAATACAGAATAATACAAATTTACATTTATATAGCACCTTTCACACCGGGAGGATGTAACCAGATCTTTAGGCAAATCCAGAATTTTACGAGTCGCTGTGTTTTCTGAGAGGTGTGTTGGAGCTCTGTAAATGGGGACATTGAAGGGGTCTTACCCTTTATTCTTTCTTGCTGAGGTGGATATTAAAGACCCCATGCTACTATTAAAATGAAATTGGTCATTAACTTCATGGCTGGTTTTGAGCACTGATGTGCGCAAATTAGCTACCCCATTTTGCCTACAAAATCTCTGTAGCTCACAGTGTTACTATAATAATAATTCTTGCATTTGATATAGCACCTTATCACGTATTCGAGACATCTCAAGTCGCTTCACAGAATATACTGTAAAGTGAATTGACTGTGTTTTATGGGCGAAACGTGGCAGCCAATTGCACAAACAGCCATGGATTGATTGACCAAATTATTATTATTATTATATTTTTTGAAGGAATAATTACCCACGGAAAAGCAATCCACCAATCGACTAACAACCGGGTTCCTACTTACTGCTAGATAAACAGAAGTGTGGAGCAAGAAAAATTTCTCAACATTTCTCCCTGCCAGGAATTGAACCCAGGTCTCTTGCTTGCGAGGCGAGTACTCTTAAACTATAGGACTCCACCTATCCTGTAAAGCGCTTTGAGATGTTATCAAAAATGCTATATCAAATTATTATTATTATTATTTGAAATTGTCTGCCAGGTTCATCTACTAATACACAGTTGCTACACTTTACCATAAATCCTGAAAAGCACTTTGAGATGTATTGTTATGATAAGGTACAATATCAAATACAATGATTATTATTAATACAATAAATCAACCTTGGTTTCTATCATAAGGAATCCAAGTCACATAAATCCTTCCATCCTCCTTATGAGAAAGGCACTTTATGAATGTAAATTGCATTGTAGAACTATATTACTTCATCCTATAAGAACTCTTCCCTATGGGATTTGCTTCTGGAGTCAATTTCCCGTGGGTTGGCAGGAATTTTAATCTTTCATACATTGCAGAGGATCCAGGTATTTTACTAGGTTATTCTGAAATACTGTCCTCTTGTAATGGTAGGTTCACAACACTTGATGATACTGTTTTGCAATTTTCTACCAAGAGCTCCACCTGGTAGCACAAATAAGGTACTACAGCACTGTACAATTTATAATAATAATCCTTGCATTTGATATAGCGCTTTTCACGTCTTCTAGACGTCTCAAAGCGCTTCACAGAATATACTGTAAAGTGAATTGACTGTATATTTGTGGGCAAAACACGGCAGCTAATTGCGCACAGCAGTGTCCCACAAACAGTCGTGGATTGAAGCGACCAATTTTATTATTATTTTTTTCTTTTTGAGGGATTATTATCAGGCGTGTGGAGTAAGGAAACTTGCCCAAGGTTTCGCCCTGCCGAGAATCGAACCCAGGTCTCTCGCTTGCAAGGCGACTGCTCTAACCACTGAGTTACAGGACTCCTTGTAAGTATGACATTTATCTCATACTTACAAGAGCAGTCTGGCAACTCATAAGAAAACAAGATTAAGCAGGCGACATGGTGCTATTTAACCTCTCCTGTTCATTAGATATTCTCCACAACACCCACGTGGCAGTCCTATTGTACTGATACTTATGAAGCTTCTTCGAGTTTCACAACCAGTTCCATCACCAAGTTTCACTTCATCAAACACATTCAGCACTCTGCAAATTATGAAGATGAATTAAATAATTCCACACACAACCTCCAAAAGGTCTCAAGGCTCCAATGCCTGTGTTATTTCACATTCAATATCTGTCAAAGCGAAGCTCTGCTAGTTTGGAAGTGGAGTGTAGATGAGTCATTTTCTGGGTGCACAGAGCTTCTTCTCAAGAGCAAGGCAAAAAGGGCCATTATTTCACACCTTGAACGTGGATGAACATGATCTAAACATTGAGCTACTCTGGAGACCCAGACTGTATGGCTCCCTTATTATTGCTGTTATTAGAAAAAATAATCCTTATTGATCAACAGAGAACAAGCAGGGAACTTCATAAAACTTCATATTGTGCCCAGTCCCCTGGGCACAATATCGCAGAAATTGCTTTACTTGCTGTCAGTTTTAAAATGCTTTTACTTTCTTTAAAAAAAAGAAATTCTAATAGATTTTTAAAAGCACAATTGTTTCAGGTAGTCTTTGACGTCTTGTTCACCATAAGGTGTGAATGACCCATTCAGTTCACCATCTCGTTTGTATTGTGCATTGGCCTGGTTCAGTTGATAGCACTGTCTAGGAGTCAAAAGGTTGTGGGTTCAAGCTTCAAGTCGGGACTTGGAACTCATTATAGCCAAGTGGAAACTCCAATGCAGTGCTAGGGGTATGCCGCATTGCTGGAGGTTTAATGAATCATTATTCAAATGATCCCTTAAACCGAGATCTTATCTGCTTAAACCAAGGTCCTTTTTGCCTGTTCAGGTGGACCTCAAAGATCCCATGTCACTAATCGAAAAGACAAAGGAGTTCGTAAACAATTCCACAAATAAAATTGGTCATTCACTTCATGACTGTTTATGAGACATTGCTGTGTGAAAATGGGCTGCCACGTTCGCCTCGAAATACAGTCACTACACTTCAACAACAACAAGATTCCATTTGTTGAGCGCCTTTCACGTCCGGAGGACGTCCCAAGGCGCTGCACAGTTGGGTCAGGACCCGAGCAGGGGGGACATTGCACATCCTGGAATTTTTTTTTGAGATTTCCTCCTAATGCGAAAGGTTTTATATCAAATGTAATGTAACGGAAGCAGCACTCTACCATGCGGGGGGTGGGGGGCACTATAGGAGGGGATGAAGGAAGGCACTAGAAAACAAAAAAAGACAGCAAATGAAGAGGATAAATTAAAAGTATTTTTTGAAGATACACCACAAATTAAATACATTCAGGTCAATTAAATATAGTAGTTGAATGAAAGTCGATGCATTATAGCGATACATGTGTGACTATTTACTGACCGTGATAATACGCAGATTAACATCCTCAGGTAATACTGGGTATGCGCTGGTGCACTGCAGGATGCAGAAGTTTGGATTGATCCCTTTCACAGTCTTGTAAACTTGTCTCATCATTTCCATGCTTTGCATTCCGCTGGAAATCACCATTGGACGGCCTGACATAACAAAATGAGCAAACTGAGAACTTCATCTACTTTATACATACCAACTTTTGCATGTAACGATGAACAAAAATATTACCTTAGAAAGTCTACAGCATTGCTCACCTTTTTTCGCAGTGGTTTCCAAATATGGCAAATTATTTGTGTCTCCAGACCCAACTTTAAAGAACGGCACATTCAGTTCCTGAAGAAATTCAACAGCCATCTGTGAAACCGAAGAAAGACACTGTAAATAGCTCATTGAAGAAATCAAAGGGTATTCAGCCTATTCTAAAAGCACTACTAGAGGCACCTGCTCCAATCCTATTCACTTGTTCCTACTCTACGGCTCTTAATATTTCTTTCTCAAGTATTTATCCAATCCTCTTTCAAGTGCTGTTAATCGATTCAACTTCAATAGTGTCTATGGTAATAATCTCACTGTAAAATGAATCTAACCTCTTATCTTATGAAGATAATATGCCTATCTGTGCCATTTTATTACTTTGCTTAACCTTCCCCCATCTCCATGAAATCGCTCAGCTCTTTCAAAAAGAGGCAAGTACAGGGTGATAATAATAATTGACAGCTCAACAATGTCCCACAAACAGCCATGAAACAAATGACCAATTTTATTTGGGGGATTGTTGGCCAGGATACCTGGAGAAACTCCCTTCTCTTTTTGAATATTGACACTGGATCTTCATTGACTAGCTGAACAGGCAGATAGGCCTTTAATACAATATCTCAACCAAAGAACCACACCCCTAACAATCCCCAGGATTGCAATAGAGTGTCGGCTTAGACTATCCAAGTTCCAAGTCCCAACATGGGGCTCGAACCCATAACCTTCTAACTCAAAGGCAAGAGTGCTACCTCATCTGAGCCACCCTGATACACAGGCTGATACAGTTATAACACATATTGTACTGTACCTATGCAGATTGACTATAATGGAAGCACAGTTCATTTGCAGCCACTGGCAAACTAAAACACGATTGCTGGTCAGTATTTCCAGAGTATCAGGTGCCACTGACAAGTGCAGGTTTGTGTGAACAAAATACTGAAAAGTAAAATCTAAAATTGTGATGTACCTCATCCATGCCAGATGCTGTGAAGAAGATGCCAACTTCCTGAGCGAACTTCTGCAGCTCTCTGTACTGCTCGTGACTGAATTCCAGGTGACGCTTGTGATCTCCATATATTTTTGCCCATGAGTGTTTGGATTCATACGGCCTAGCAAGGGCTTGCTTGTTAAATTTGTACTCCAACTCACTCTTCTGAAATTTGGCGCAGTCTGCCCCGCATTCCTGGAAAGAGAAACTTTACATTAGTAATTTTGACACATCACTTATTTTTTTTTTAAAAATCAACCCTCATAACAGCCAGCGCTGTTAACAGCACACACCTACATGCCAATTACCTGCATTCTCAACTTTGTGTGTGACAGTCAATCTTTTAGTGTGTGACAGTCAACCTCTCTGATCTCCCACTATCACATTTATTTGCCATTGTTCCCTACTGTCTCCCTGGAAGAACACACCCTGCATATCTAACTCGAAAAAGTATTAATAATCCTTACATTTGACAATATCATGACGATGTCTCAAAAGGTTTATTTTTGTAGGGGAACATGGTAGCCAATTTGCACACAACAATGTCCCACAAACAGCCAAGAAGTGTATGCAAATTTTAACTGGGAGATTCTTGGCCAAGTCACTAGGAGAAACTCCATTCTCTTTTTAAGTAGTGTCATGGAATCATTAATGTCCACCTGAACAGGTAGACAACCCTCCGTTTAACATCATCTTAATGACGGCACCTCCAATAATGCAACATACCTCCTGTACTGACTGAAGTGTCAGGACTATGAGAGTTCAAAGTCCTGATGTGGGGCTTGTACCCATAACCTTCTAACTCAAGAGGTGAGAATGCTACCAACTGAGCCAACATGACACAAAAACTACCAAGACCACCACAGTGGATTCAGTTTGATTCAATAATCTGTTGTCAAGCCGATGCGAGGTGATGATGGGTCAAAAATTGAGGATTCACTCTGCTGCTGCCAGCCCCATTCCCTTCGGCCACCTCCCATCCCTCTCTCCACACCTTCGACCAGTCTCTCCTTCAACCCTCTTCACTCATCTCCCGTATGAGACCCACCAAGTGCTTCCTCGACCCCAACCGCACCCTGACCTCCCTGCTCCACCACCTCTTACCACCACCGCTCCCCCCCACCCATGAATACACACCTTCAATCACCACTGTCCATGGGCAATCCCCGCCTCTTTCAAAAAAGCTGTCATCATCCTCTTCGTAAAGAAAACCTCTCTTGACCCATTCCTGTTCCCTAACTACCATCCCATCTCCAACCTTCCTTTTCTCCAAGATACTGCTTCTCAGCTTCTCCTCTTCTTTTCCCGGCACTAACAACAACAACAACAAATTACATTTTATAGAGCGCCTTTCACGCCGGGAGGACGTCCCAAACAGCCCGAGCATGGGGGAGGGGTGGTGTACGGGTGAGGGAAGGGAGTGAGGTGGGAGGGAGACCAAAGGCTCGGTCGAAGAGGAGGATCTTGAGACTGGCCTTGAAGGAGGCAAGGGAGGAAGTGAGGCGAAGGGACTGTGGGATGAAGTTCCAGAGTGTGGGGGCAGAGAGGCTGAAAGCCCGGCCACCGATGGTAGGGCGGGTCGGGCGGGAGACATGGAGCAGACCGGTGCCCGATGAACGGAGGGAGCGGGCAGGTTGGTAGGGAGTCAGCAGGTCAGAGAGGTAGGAGGGGGCAAGGCCATGGATGGCCTTAAAGGTGAGGACAAGGATCTTGAACTCGATTCTCTGGGGGATGCGGAGCCATTGGAGTTGGGCGAGTGTGGGAGTGATAGGGTCACGGAGCCTGGTGTGTGAGAGTACACGAGCTGCAGAGTTTTGGATGATCTGCAGCTTGTGAAGGGAAGAGTTGGAAAAGATGAGAAGGCAGTTCCCGTAATCGAGCCTTGAGGTGTCAAATGAGTGGGTGAGGGTTTCGGCAGCCTGAGGGGTGAGGCAGTGGTGGAGACTGGCAAAGTTACGGAGGTGGTGGTAGGCAGTGCCGGTCGTGGTGCGGATGTGGGGGAGAAAGGACAGTTCAGGGTCAAACAAGGCACCCAGGTTCCTGACTGCCTTAGTGAGGTTGAGTGTGCAGCCATGGAGGCTGATGCTGCCAGTGCTTAAGGTGCAGAGGTGCTGGCACGAGCCAATCAGGAGGGCCTCGGTCTTGCTGACATTGAGTTGGAGAAAGTCGGCCCTCGTCCAGGACTTGATGTCGGACAGGCACGAACATCTCCAATCCTGTTTCTACCTGCTCATAATACCAAGACTACCCTGGTCAAAGTCATCAATGACATTCTCTCTCTATGGCCAGGACTCTTGCTTCCTCTTTGTTCTCCTCAATCTCTCGACTGTCTTTGACACTGTTGATCATGCTCTCCTTCTCCATCACCTCTTTGTCAACGTAGCTGATGAGGAAACTCTGAGGCTTGAGGCAACAGCTGCTGGAAAGCTTTACCTGGAGTCCGAGTTTGAGAACCTGCATTTGTACATACAGCGCTTGAAATCCATCCTGATTGGTTTGCAGGGAGTTAAGCAGCTGCTGCTCAAACTCTGCAGCTCCAATTGGCAGAACTATCGCTAAATGGGAAGGGATGTGCGCCCAAGCTGGGGGACAGGAAGATGATGGCATTCCTCTCACGTATTTCATGTGTTGCTTTGTTGCCTATCAGGAAGCTCACAGGGAGTTTCTGCTACCTGTCATCCATCAATCGAGGGCTAAAAACTGTCATATTGGATGTCAAATGACCAACTTGTGGCTATCCTCCTTGGGGATGGGGGAAAAGCGCTATATCAAATGCAAGGATTATTATTATTATTATTAAAACCTCTCCCTCCCAACATGCCCCAGATCTGATGAAGGGTCGTGGACCCGAAACGTTGACTGACTTTCCTTTCTCTATAGATGCTACCTGACCTGCTGAGTTTTCCCAGCCCTCTCTGTTTTTGTTTTATTTGGAGGTTGGTTGGCCAATAGACAGGAGAAATTATCTCAGCTTTCATATAGTCATATTAACATCCATTTAAACAAGAGGCAGAAAGAAACTAGTTTTAACAGCTCTGACGGACAATACTTTCCATAAATCAGTGCTCTCCCAGTACTGCATCTAAGAAGTCAGATTAGTCTCTGGCCTGACCCACACCTTCTGACCCTGAGTTAAGAATACCATCATCAAAGCCAAATTCATACTTATAAATTCTTTGTTGGGATCAGAATATTTATACTGTACAGAATATTTATATTGTACTTTAAAGATATTCCAAACTTTATAAACGCGGCTGTAAATCTTTTTATATTTACATTTTAAACAAAATCTTGATTTAAATATTAATGAGCTCTTGTGTTGCAATTTATACAGTAAATAGAGGTTTGAACAATTAAGTAAAAACATTAATTAAAAAGAACCCTGGACACATTTAAGAAATGTGATCTTTGTGATCTTACGCATTGTCTAAACCGGTTTATCCACCACCATCCCTCAACAATACCGGAGACTCCAATATCAATGGGAGATGCATCACCACAAGAGGGGAGAGGCTCAGGATGCCACACTGAAACTCTCCTATACGGACAAAGCAGTTCCTTCAGTTGGTTATTATCAGAGCTAGTAGGTAACTAACTGAAAAGGAAAGTTATAGCTCTTTTATGAAAGCCGATAGTCCAAATGGCCTCCTTCTGTTCTGTAAATGTCTATGCTTTTATGCCAATCTCTCATGATGTATTAAAGGTGCGTGAGTGGGGGATTGAGGACTGCATTATACTGAAGTTCACTCTCATTTTAATGGAGGACTGTTCAAATTTGGGGCGGTGGCCTGGTGCCTGCCTGCCTGCCTGCAGTTAAAGTGACAAGATGTTTTAAAAAATTTTTCAACAAGTTTTTTTGCCTGAGTTTTTTACTGTAAAATCAGTATTTGGATGAACGCTGCCTGACGCTTTGGTTGACTTAAAGGGAATCTCATTATTTTCAACCATAAATCATAGAATCATTGCAAATTACAGAACAAGAAGGAGGCCATTCAGCCATCATGCCTGTACGGCTCTTTGGAAGAGCTACCCATTCAGTCTTTCCCCATATCCTTTCAAATTTTCCTTTTCAAGTACCTATCCAATTCTCTTGTGAAAGTTGTCATTGAAACCGTTTCCACCAAATATATTATAAAAAATTTAAAATCTTTACATTCTAAACCATGTATTAAACTATTCATTTTACACAAAAGCTTTCTATATGAAATTAATTTATTCCTGGCCCTTATTGAATAGCACGTTAAATACAAGATAACGTGGGAAAACATTGGCCAAACCACTTTCTAAGTGCTTTTCATTGGCCCAAGATTACATAATTATAGAACATTACAGCATAGAAGCAAATCATTCATTCCAACAAGTTTGTACCAATATTTATATGCCAAGCAAGCTTCCATCCCTCTCCCATACCTCTCTATTCTAGCCCTTGAGATATAGCAGTCAGTCCCTATATCAAATGTATGGATTATTATTAATACTTTGCACACCCGCTTTCAATAAAAAAAATCTTTTTCTACAACTTTGTAGATCTACCTCATCAAAGCTACTTAACCTACAAATTAGAAAAAAAAACATTGAACAAGAAAACACTATTGGATTCGTAAACATGCACATTCTGCGGCCAATGCTTTAAACTATCCTGTGACAGTGGAGTATTATCAGGCGTGTGGAGTAAGGAAACTTGCCCAGGGTTTGGTTTCGCCGTGCCGGGAATCAAACCCAGGTCTCTGGCTTGAGAGACGAGTGCTCTAACCACTGAGCTACAGGACTCCACATCAGGGTTGATATACCTGGCGTCCAGCTAAAGCAGCTTCCACGGTGTAAGTGTATACATATTTATTTAGGGCTCGAGCCTATACTATGCTCAGCTCCGAGCCACACAAGGTAGTCATAAACCAGATGAACACCACTGTTGGTTCTCAGTTTAATGCCTCATCCGAAGAATACCCCCCACCCCCGACACTGCACTGGAGTGTCAGCTTAGACCAGTGAGATCCAAGATCCAGTGTTGGCAGCTGTGCCCAATTTAACATAGTGCTCCCCCTTCCCTCACTGCCTGGGAGTGGAGGCGGGAGCACAGGAGGCTCCCCACAACACGGTGGGTGGGTGGGTGTGTGGGTACCTTGGCCATCCGGATCATCTTCTTGGCTATCTCCAGGTCTCCCTGGTGGTTCTGGCCGATCTCGGCGATGATGAAGCAGGGCTGGTCCCCGCCGATGGGGCGCCCCGGGCACAGCTCAAACTCGCGAGGCATCTCCTGTCTCTGGTCCGGGCTGACTGGCCGCGCGCGCCCCCGCGCGCACACACACACACACACCCGCCCGCCCGCGCCCGCCCCTACGTCACTTCCGGGTCAGCCCTCGGCCCTGTTGCTGTGGAAACGGGCAGCGAGCGTCACGGTGCTCCCCCTCCCCCCCCCCTCCCGCGGGGCAGCGGAGAGCGAGCGGCGCCGCCCGGGGTCGGGGTTCGCGTCCGCCCTCCGTTAATCGGCTTCAACTGATCCAGAGAATCAGTTTGGCGGCAGAGACCACACGCTGATAGCAGCGATGATGATAACAATCCGTGCCTTTGAGGTACCGCCTGAGCACGCCTTCGAGGCGTCTCGAAGCGCTTCACAGCCAATGTGTGCCCAACAACAACAACAACAACAACAACAGCATTATATTTGTGCAGCGCCTTTCCCATCGCGAGGGCGTCCTGCGAGCAGCCACCGAGTGGCTCGCCAGGTTTATTTGGGGGTGTTTGTGGGCCGGGACGCCATGAGAGGTTCCCTTGTCTTTTCGAATAGCTCCACGGGATCTTTACTGTCCACCTGAACAGGCAGACGGGACCTCGGTTTAACATCTCATTCAAAGTATTGCACCTCCGACAATACAACACACACCCCCACCCCCAGCACTGCATTGGAGTGTCAGCTTAGACTATGTGAGTCCCGAGTGTGTTCTGTGAAGCGCTTTGGGACGTCCTCCTGACGTGAAAAGCGCTATATCAAATGCAAGGATTATTATTATTATTATTATTATTAAACCCACAATCTCAGAAGCAGGTTTGCTACCACTGCACCAGACTGACACGTGTTTGCACATCTGGTGCTTGCAATCCACCTTGACTGGTTTATAAAGGTAAGTAGCTGCTGCTCAAACTCCACACCTCCAACTGGTGGGACTATTGCTCAATGGAAAGGGATGTATGTCTGAACTATAGGCAGGAAGATGGTGGCAATATTCTTGTGTATTACATGCTGAGCTGTGTTGCGCACCAGGAAGCTCAGATGGAGTTCCTGGTACCTGCCACCCACCTAGTGACAGATCCAACCCACACTCCACTGAAAACAGTACTCCAGATGGGGGCATGACCAAGGCACTCTATACAGTTGACGAGCACTGCTACCATCTTCTTGCCTACGGCTCAGACATGCATCACTTCCCATTGAGTGATGGTTCCACCAGTTGGAGCTCTGGAGCATGAACAGCAGGTGCTTATGTCAAGATCTGACATCAAGTCCTGGATGAGACTTGGATGAATGTCAGCAAGACATTCTTGCTCGCGCCATCACCTCCGCACCTCAGGCATTGGCAGCATCAGCATCCACGAATGCACACTCCACCTCACCAAGCCAGTTAGGAACCTGGGCATCTTGTTCGACCCTCAACTGTACTTTCTCCCCCATATCTGTGCCATGACCCACTCTGCCTACCTCCACCTCCACAACATTGCCCGACTCTGCCATTGCCTCAACCCTCAGGCCACCGAAACTGTCATACACGCATTCGTCACCTCAAGGCTCGACTACAGAATCTCCCTGTTTTTCGGCCTCCCCAGCTCTTCCCTCCACAAGCTGCAGATCATCCAACACTCTGCAGCTTGTGTCCTCTCCTGCACCAGGCTCCGTGACTCCATCACCCACACTTGGCTCCACTGGCTCTCCATCCCTCAGAGGATAGAATTCAAAATCCTCGTCCTCCCTTTAAAGACCCCCTCCTCTGACCCCCTATCAGCCTGTCCATTCCCTCCACTCAGCAGGCTCCGGCCTGCTCCAGGTCTTCCTCCCAACCCACCCTACCATCGGCTGCTGGGCTTTCACCCTCTCTGACCCCACTCTTTGGAACTCCATCTCACAATCCCTTCACCTTGCTCCCTGTCTTGCCTCCTTCAAGACACGACTAAAGACCTTCCTTTTTTGATCATGCTTTCAACCGCCCTCCTACCCCTTCTGCCCTCCCTCATCCCAATCCTGCCACCCCATGCTCGCGTCCTGATCCCTGACTGTTCAGTGCCTGGGACATCCTCCCGATGTGAAAGGCGCTTTAGAAATGTAATTTTCTTGTTATTTCTTTGTAAACAAGTCAAGGTGGATTCCAAGCCCAGGATATATGAACATGTGTTCACAAATGTGTTCACAGATGCCTTCCGTCAGCTGTAACCCCAGGTCTCAGAGTTTCATCATCAGCTATCTGACGGGCATCTGACCTTTACAGGGCAGCTTGTGACATGCCAGTCATCTTGATGTTCTCGAGGTCCAATTCCAAGTACCATACTTACTCAGCACCAGTTGCTTAATCCAGGTTCAGGTTGCTTAATGTGAGGGACTTTGGCGAATAGCTGTGCTCGCTGTGAAGCTGGTTCTGCCTCTAGGGTATTCGGCAATAGGTCAGTGTAGGCCAGAGCCCTTCCTCCCGGCTGATGTTTACCACAACAATGGAGTGGTGGTGGATAAGAGGTGCTGAGTATAATAATAATAATCCTTGCATTTGATATACCGCTTTTCACATCTTCTAGATGTCTCAAAGCACTTCACAGAATAGATGTAAAGTGAATTGGCTGTATATATGTGGGCGAAACACGGCAGCCAATTGCGCACAGCGGTGTTCCACAAACAGTCGTGGATTGAAAATGACCAATTTATTGTTTTGTTTTTTGGAGGGATTATTATTAGGCGTGTGGAGTAAGGAAACTTGCCCAAGGTTTTGCCCTGCCTGGAAGTGAACCCAGGTGTCTCGTTTGCAAGGCGAGTGCTCTAACCACTGAGCTGCAGGACTCCACATGTCCTTGACCCTAAGGATGGCCTTGGACTAGAATGAGGTTTCAGCTTCAGAGAAGGAGAGGCAGTATTCAGAGAGGTAGTCGAGCCTGAATTGGGGTGATTGACTACACGACTGGTAGTATGTCATCTACATTCAAATGCATGGGATTTGGAGGAAACCAAAGGGAGCAGGTGAGGTGGGAGATGGTTCTGGATTTCGAGGAGGCAAGTTTGTTACACATGGAAGAGAGGCAGCTGTTTAGCAGCTTGACGGTGGGATCAAGGTCACGGCGGGTGGAGGGCTAGAGAGATAAGATCAGAATAATAAAATATTCCTTGCATTGATATAGCGCCTTATCATGTCTTGGAGAAGTCTCAAAGTGCTTCACAGAATACACTGGAAAGTGGAGTGACTGTATATTTTATGGACGAAACATGTCAACCAATTGCGCACAGTAGAATCCCACAATTATCGTGGACTGAGTGACCAAATTATTATTTTTCAAAATTTTTAAGGGATTATTTTTTGAAGCTGCAAGGCATTTGAGAGGAATTGAGGAAGGAGTTTTTTCAGGGGGTGGAATGAGGAAGTGTAGGGTTTAGCAGAGAGAAGAGGGATATGAAAGGGGAGGGAAATGAGGAGAGGCAGAGATGGCCTTATCAGTGATGGTGAGCTCAGAGATTTTATTCAGTCAGCATTGTGAAACCCAGCAATATGTTTAAGAGTATCGAAATCAATTAAATGAGAGCATCACATACTGTATATAGTAAAACTCCTGATAACTTGTCATTCCAAGGGAAAAGGGCTCAGTGACTAGTTATCCAGATGCATCTGAGTATGTTATCCAGGCCTGTGCGATGCATTTGAGCATATGCACCCGCATCAGTTACAGGATAGGGTGGAAGACATCTCCTATGCAAGATACCATCATAAGGGACAGCCATCTTCTACCACTCCTTCCCTTGACAAAGACAAACATTGCAGGAAAGAAATTATCAATCCTGCTATTTTAGTGTAATATTGCTATTTCTTTAGCAGTTAAATACAATAAAAAATCTGGTGAAACTGCCTTACTGATGATCTCACTGTACCCTCCCATGTGTACAGAGCTGATCTGTACATATTTTCCTTTGTGCTCATAGGTGTGGATGCAGGAAGAAACACAAAGATAAAGGTTATTTCACCTAAGCTGGTGTAATTACTGCTCTGCAAACACATCTGTGGAGTCCTGTAGCTCAGTGGTTAGAGCACTCGCCTCGCAAGCAAGAGAACCTGGGTTTGATTCCAGGGTGAAGCATTGGGCAAGTTTCCTTTCTCCACACGCCTCTATTTACCCAGTGGTAAGTAGGAACCCAGTTGTTAGTCAATTAATGGATCGCCTTTCCGGGGGTAATAATTCCTTCAAAACAAAAATGCATTTTAAAAAAAATAATAATTTGGTCACTCAATCCTCGACTATTTGTGGGACACTGCTGTGCGCGATTGGCTGCCGTAGTTCACCCACAAAATATAAAGTCAATTCACTTTACAGTATATTCTGTGAAGTGCTTTGAGACGTCTCAAAGACATGATAAGGTGCTATACCAAATACAAGAATTATTATAACTATTTCTTGCTTTCACATTTTTCCTCCATTTTTCTCCCTTCTACTGGGATTTGCTTCCACAACAATGGTAACTGCAAAATAGCTATTATTCAATCATCAAACCAAACCTGATATCAAATAATATTCACGCACATATTCTTGCCAGCAGGAGTGTCTAGATAGTGAGCAGGAGTGAGAATCCTGTCTTATTTCATCTTCCCAATCCAGGAAGATTGAATTGTAGATCAGTCGGAGATCAGTTAACTCAGCACAGACCAGGATTCAAACTGCGACTTTCTGTTCTGTATAGCAAGACCCACTGGGCCTTTAAGTGGAAATTTGTTTCATTTAAAATATGTAGTTTGCTGTTTATTTTCATGTTTTTCCCTTTTCGCATCATTCCCTCACTTTCATGTTTTCAACGTCAACCTTTTTTCTTTGTTTTTTGAGTCAGTCAGTAGCCCTCTTGTATCTGGGACAGAAGGTTGTGGGTTTTAGCCCCACAGTCTGAGCTCACTGTCCAAGGTCTAAGGGAGTGTTACATTGTTGGAGATGCCAACTTTCAGATAATATCTTAACCTTTGCAATCCTGTCTGTTTATCCAAGGGAACATTGAAGATTTAATGACACTAAAGTAGAGCCCAATTATAATGCAGTGGTTGGCGTCCATGAAATCCCAAACTGCGTTATAATGGGGCTGAACTAGCCTTTAACAGAATATTTTTGACCATCCTTAGATGGACAGCTCCAAAGGACACTGTCTCTACTCAGTTATTTCAGGCTTGCTGTATATCCTCTTGCCCCCTTTGCTCCCCAAAAAGCAGCCAAGCTCTCAGCCTCTATGCCCCTCACCTTCTGGAATTCCCTCCCTCTATCTTACCCTCTCCCTATCTGTCTTCAAAACCTGGCTAAAATATACCTTTCTCGACCGAGCCGTAAGTCACCTCCGTCCTCCAGTACTATCTCTGTAAAAGTGTTTCAAGCTGTTACTCTACTTGAAGGGCGCTATACAAATGCAGGTTGTTGTGGGTTGAATTCTATTATGAAACGAGAACATTCCTGTTATTCTCAAGGCATTCTTTAATCGTTTTCGCGACGCAACATTGGAGAAACATACTTGATCAGATTTTGTTCTTGGTGAGCTTTATAGTAGACTATTTGTAAAGAAATCTAAAGCATAAGAAATGTAAAGATTTGAAAAATGAGATAAAATCCATTCTTAAAGGAACATTATTCAGCAACTTAATGGATCCTTTTTAGTTGATGCAGACCTTTCGACCAGTGTGAGTTCTCACAAGCTCCACCCTCCATCAATGATTAGCTCTGTTCCAGTCACATAGGCAGACTGTAAGTACAAGAGTTCACATTATAAATGCCATTATAAAATATTCAATCAACATTAATAATAATCCTTATATTTGATATAGAGAATTTCAAGTCAGGCGAATGTCTCAAAGCGCTTCATAGGATATACTATAAAGTGTAGTGACCGTATTTTCTGGGTGAACAATGCAGTTAATTTGTGCATAGCAATGTCCCATAAACTGAATGAATTGAATGACCAATTTTATTTTGGGCATACTGATTGTACTTCTAGCTATAAATGCTTTAACACATTTTAACGTGCCAAGGCACTAAAGAAAAATGTGAGTTATTTATTTTTCATAAATCCGACTAGGTTTTTTCATTGTACAAGCAAGAAAAGTCTAAATAGGGCTGTCATTACTCTCAAATAATACTGCTGAGTGTGCCTTAAGTTCTTTGAACATCAAAGAATATGAGATTGTATTATAATCAGAGTGAGTTACAGTCGGCCACTTGCGCTCACTTCCAGGGTTCCAGGCTCACTCCATGTGCAAGAATTCAACCAGTCAATGGCGACTCTTTCTTGTGACAATTTTGGGGGATCAGTGTCCAGGACTCTGGGAGAAATCCCTTCCCTTTTCAAACATTGTCTTAGGATCATTAACATCTGCTTGAAAAGGGAGACTGGAGACTGTTTAATGTCTCATCCGAAGGGACAGCTCGCCGCAGCATTGAACTGGGGTATCAACCTAGACTGTGATCTCAAAGCTCCAATGTGGGGCTTGAACCCACAATCTTTTAACCCAGAGGTAAGAATGTTACCAACTGAGCCATGCTGACCCCCACTGAAGAATGAAGACCTGCAAGTAAGTCATTTTCTTGCTGTATTTAAATGGTCAATATGGTTAACATTATAAAAATACTTTACATAGTATTATTTGAGAGTGATGTCAGCCCCTATTTAGACTTTTCTTGCTTGTACAATGAAAACTTAACCTTCACTCTCTGAAGACTGGCAAATTTATGGACCTTGTCAGTGAAATTTGAAAATTTCCATTATAATTACAATTTACATTTACAAAACATCTTTCTTTTCACGTTGGGAAGATGTCTCAAAGTGTTTCACACATCTGATTGGGAGCCTAGCTGGGTGGGGGTTGGGCGGAGAAAACAGCCAAACATGTAGTTGAAAAGATAGGTCTTAAGGTCGGTTTAGAAGGCAATGTGTTCCATAGACCGGGAAGCACATAGCAGGGCAGATTGGGTGGGGTGATGAATCAGGACAGTGTTTGCTGAGCGGCGGGAGTGGTTGGAAATAAGTTTAAATTTATGGACTAGCGGAGGATATTCTCATCAATGTTTGCAAATTTAACGATTCTTCGAGTTTCCTATTAAGATTCCTATTAAGCGCATTTTTGTCATTTTATACCATTTGCAATTTTACCCCATTGGATTTAGAATAGAATAATAGAAATTGCAGCCCAATTTCACTCACTGATGATGCTAATCACAATTCCCTGCTCTTTCCCTTATATTTCCTTTATATTCTTTTACAATGCTCCTCCTCAAATATTAACCTAATTCCCTTTCAAATGTTGTTGTGGTCTCAGCCTCAATAGCCACCTTATGATAAAACATAATTTACTGTGAAAAGGTTTCTTCCAGCCTCCCACTTAACTCTTCCATGTATTTATATACAGTATGTCATGATGTAAATTTGAAATACATTTTGCACAATAGTTTGTGTATAGTTTAAATGCTAACCAGCCACTTACTTCATCAGATGCCAAGTATACACATAGATGGGCAACCTCCTTTGCAGTGGCCATTCGGCCAGTCTTTTGCCTTGCCAGGAAATCACTTAAAGCCTAGTTCGGAGGTAATGATATTTACTTTGTTACGATATGTATTTGAATTAGTACATAAAAGAAAACGTACAAAAATTACATTGCAATCATCCACAAAAGCATACAAATAGGTGTTACAATGATCTGCTTAACTAATGATTTACTCAATGTAAGCAACAGAACAGAACAATTGTTGATTATTATCAGGATCTGGGAGTTGTAGTGGATACCAACTTATGCTCAGACACTGGCCCGAGGGACCAGACAACACAAAAGGCACTCGAGGGATTCTTGTCATTCTAAAGGACTGCAAGGCCCCAATGCAGGTTAAGCTTGTGGCATGTAATACCTGTGTCCCAACAATTTCCCTTTATGGTTACAAGTTACCGGAAATTGGGCAGAGAGGCTTCCATTTGTGAAGTTCGGGATCAAGCAGTGAGGTGGAATTGTGGTAAACAGGGGAAATGGCGACGGGGAGGGAGGGCTCCAGCCTGCACTGTCCTGTCGATGAGCACCCTGGAGGCAGAGTCAGCTGCACAGCAGGCACATCTATTTGCCAAAGCCCCTCATGTGAGAATCTGGATTAAGCAGCTGGTGCTGAGTAAGGCTGGTATGTGACATTGAACTTGGACCTGGAGAACATCAAGGTGGCTAATACGTCACATGCTGTCCTGTAAAGGTCCTCCCACCAACAGGTCCTCCCACCAAGCTGAAGGCAGGTGCACACCAGATAGTTTAGGAGGAAACTGAGGTTTGGGGCAACAGCTGCTCCGAGGTGGAGATGGAAGGAGTCAAATTTCGATTGATCGACAGTGGACTTCAGCCAATCCCAAGCAGCTTTGGGCTGCTGATCAGTGAGGGGACTGAGGAATGGGGAATAAACAGGGAGGGAATGGGAGGAGTCAAGTCATGATTGATTGACAGCTGGAGCTGCTTGTGAGTGGGTGACATGCCCATCCATTCACAAGCAGCTGTCAATCATCTCAGAGCCGCAGTTAGTGGGTCCTCTTCCCGTTCAGTGGGAACGGCAATGGGAGGGAGGAGGCGTTGCTGCTTCTCTACTGGGTGGAAAGAGGTAATGGAACTTCGGTTAACCTCGGCCACCACTTAAACTGGGCAAATCAGCCGGCCGCGATGTGTCCGGCTTAACCAGCTATAGGTAAACCAGCTCTTTATCACTGCAGTAAATCACATCACCATGAACATTACAAGATAAAAACATTTTGGAATTTATTGTTATATGTCTACCTGATCAGGGTCTGGCCTTGCTCGAATTCTCCCCCTCAAAGATGGAGTGTCCACGGTACCTGGAAAGAATCAAACAGGATATAGAAGTGAATGTACTCCATTTGTCATCATGCAATAATCAACAACTTACAGTAGCTGTATAGAACACACTGATCGATGAGCATCAGTGAAGGGGCCAATCACCAACCGGGAGGGAGTGAAGGAAGGAAAATATCTTTTAAAGAGAAAGAGGGGAAAAAAACACGGACAGCTCAAAGAACAGAAAGCTTTAGATGCAGAATCAACTGAGATTTTTAAATTGAAAATAAGTAGCTACTTGAGAAACAAAGGTATTCATGGATATGGAGGAAATGTGGAGAAATAGAATTAAAAGATCTGCCATTATTCTATTAAAATGGCAGAGCGGGCTCAATGAGCTGAAATGTCTCCTCTTTTTCCCATGTCCCTGAGTTAGAGTATTCTTATCATGGACAGCTAGAAGAATATCTCCATAAATCTGGATTGTAAATTTGGGATTGAATGAATTGATTCAACAAGTGCTTCCCAATCGAGACAGTATGTGCATTTACACACTATACTTCAAGGTGATTGACAGGACTATTGTAATGGTGTTGCAGAAGGTGTGCTAAACTGAAGTTGGATTAAGAGCATCACAGAAAGTCAAGTCCTTAAAGTCGCATAAATGGGGACTTCTTGTCATAGCAAGAAATATATCAAAGGGAGTCACAGGAACTCTGCTCTGATGTGATCTACTTCTGCAGGAGAGTTATAATAAATAATAATCTTTGTATTTGATAAAGCACCTTATCATGTCTTCTAGAGTCTCACAGCGCTTCATAGAATATACTGTAAAGTGAATTGACTCTATGTTTTGTGGGCAAATCGCAGCAGCCAATTGCACACAGCAGTGTCCCACAAACAGTCGTGGATTAAGTCACCAAATTATTAACTGTTATTCTTTTTTGTGGACGAAACGTGGCAGCTAATTGCGTACAGCAGTGTTCCATAAACAGTCATGGATTGAGGTGACCATTTTTTTTGGAAGAAATTATTACCTCCAGAAAAGCGATCTAACAACCGGGTTCCTACTTACTGCAAGGTAAGCAGAGCTGTGGAGTAAGGAAACATGCCCCCAAGATGTCACCCTAACGTCGAGTGCTCTAACCACGAGGCTACAGGAAACCACAAAATTCCCACAGTTCCCACAAGATAGATTGCATTGTTATTATTCACCAGGAGAAACTACATTATCCACAAATAAACAAAAGCTGCACAATTACCAGGGCACACACAGTTGCATCTGATTCCATGTTCAATGAAGTCCGCAGCCACAGACTTGGTCAGTCCAATAACAGCTGCCTTTGAGGTGCTGTATACGCAGCGGTTTACAACTCCTGATTGGAATACATGAGCAACAGATATTAACAATTCACTAAACCAACACTATACGCCTCGTATTCTCCCCTGCCCCACATACACACAAAATAACACAATAACACAATGTATGTCAATCTACATTTCAACAAAACAAAAGCTGAGTTACTTCAAAGCAAAATTAAAGAAATAATGATTAAATCCAATACAATTTTGCATCCTACAAATCCAAAATAATCTTTGCATTTATCTCTAGAGCTTTATCATGTCGTCAAACACGTCTCAAAGCAATTCACAGAATTTACTGTAACATGCAGTGGCTGTGCATTTTTAGATGAACGTAATTGTAGCCATGCAATTGAGGAAAACATTACATTAGAATTATTGAGAGAAAGGCAACTTATTCTACCGTCCCAAACTTCAATGGATGAAATTATTAAATGGTTCACCTTTGATGCTCGATGCTACAGAGGACATGTTGATGATATTGCCAGATTTCTGAGCAAGCATCTGAATTAAAACAAAACAGAATAAACACAGCAGCCCAGATTTTTCAAACACAAGTACTCTGTTTGTATATTTCCTCAAGGATGCTTAAATGTTTCTTTTCTCTGTATATTCAAGTTTGTTCACTTACTTTTTATGCTTACCCAAATATCTTCACCCAGCTTCATATTTTCTGCCTAATAAATTCTATAAGCATGGAACTTACTGATTTTTAGTTCCCCTCCCCCCTTTCAATCACTACATGTCATAGAGACATAAGACCTAAAGAGAGTTTTGGATGAAGAAAACCTTTCAGACCCTTGTTCTCATCCTTCCAGAATGCCAATCTTCAGTCTTACCATAACACCAAGTTGATTTATAAATGTGTTCAATCTCTGAGCTTCAAACCTCCTCCTAATACATTTGAACTTGGGAGCAGGAGTAGGCCACTCAATCCATTAACCTCATTACTTTGCTGATCTTGAACAAACTATTGTGTTAACATTGTACTACAATTTTAATTGGAATAAATGATTTTTTCCAACAATTTAGAAAATAAATACTGTACTTCAAAGATTTACATTTCTGTGTCTGCTGTCTAAAATACACCCTTCTGTACAAAATTTCAGATTATTGTTTGCACAAACAACTAAGAGATATGTCTCTCTGCTTTCAATGTTGGAATAGTTATGCCTAACATTTGTTAGCCTCCTCGGGTAGATTTACCTTGGGTAAAAATGCTCTGATCATCAAATACATGCTGCGGACATTAACGTTCATTGTGAAATCCCAGTCTTTTTCTTCACAATCCAGTATAGTTCCATGATGTACAAAGCTATGCCAGAAAAACAACACTTGAGCATAAGGTAGAAAACATATTACAGTTTGATGTGAATCAGTTCACAACATCAAATTATTAATAGTTGATCACTCTTTCTGTAAGACAGAAAAGAACTTGCATTTTTATGGCTCTTTTATCAAATCAAAACATCTTATAGTGCTTCACAGATAATCACTGTCACATGCAGTAACTGGTTTGTTGGTTAAACA